CTTGGAGTCCTGTGACTTTTGAATTGCAGGTGTCTATGGGCGGCGGTAGTTGCTAACCATCAGGTGACCCGTCTGCTCGTATGCCCCCTTATACCATAAAAAAAATTATATAATTTTTCAACAAACAATTCCAATGATTTTCGACTTAGAATCATAATGGTACCGTACAGTGCCATTGACCGGACAACCCCACACTATGAATATATCCTGTGTGGAAGGGATTTTACAACCATAAATGAAACGGACTCAAAGAAAACCCAGACTTAAAACAACAATTTGTGAATCACATAAAAGGTGTCATATTATAGAGGCGCGACTAAGACGAAGGCCGTCTTATTTCATGGACCCCGTCGGGATTCACCAGCTGGTGTCTCAATCGTGATCAACTGGGTCCTCGTACCGGTTCAAGTCCAAATGAAGTGTCTGGACCTGATCCTTAACGGGAGGTCCACTTCTGACAACTTGCTCCGTTCTCGTCTGCTTTTGGGCAACTTCTGACCAATTTGGGTGGACCCAGCGTCGTGACAAGACGGCTGCACACGGGGGACACACCGGTGGTGCACCGGGGGATGTCCGGTCAATGGCACAGGCCATTCCCCGGACATCCCACCCTTGTGGACGGTGGCTCCAACCGCCCTTATTATCAGCGGACGGCTGAGTTATGAGCGGGTATCGGCAGTTAGCCTCCGCCCGAAGAGGTATGCAAGTGCCGTGAGTCAATCGCCGAGCCACGACGCCTCGTTGGTTGTCCCAGCTGGAGGCTCCACGACCTGGCTTTACCACCGTGGAGGCGCTCAGCTTGGCGTCGTCGAGTGGGTAGGGCGTCAGCACGGGACCCTTTCCTTCCGAAAGAAGAAATTGAGTCCCGCCTGGGCAGTTTACCGGCCCTGATACGCCTTTATGCCTGTAGCGACAGATGTTTCATCGCTATCGAATCCTCCTGCGAAGATGTCATCGAAGGAAGGAAGCGGCGGAGAGGGCCCGGTAGGAAGATTTCCACTTGGAGCCAATTCGCCGCCGGTGATCCAGGCAGCGGGTGCACATTCTAGGGCCTTATGCCATCCTGAGTGATGATTAATAAAAATATTAATCAAAATTACTAATTTAATTTGTAATATTAAATCGCTATTAGAATATTTTAACAATCCATATTCATCAAGCGTTTAGTAATTTTTTGTGTGTTTTCAAAAGATGTTGGAGTATTTGGCACACTACTACTACTACTACTAAAATATTGTTATTTATGTAAAATTTTCGAGATTTTTCCTCCGTGTATATGTTAATGTTATATTTTATTTAAATAAGACAAAATATATTTTTGGGCCGAATTTGCCGCCCCAGTCCTTCGTGCTGATAAATCCGCCACTGAATCTATTCATTGGTACTACAAGAACAATAAAAGAACATTTCATTGATACATCTATAAATTACGAAATCGACTGTGACCGGGCTGCGCCGCAACACGCCTTTTTTCGACTTCTTGTTTCAGCTATCTCAATACTTTTAGATTTTTTCTCATATACAGTAAAATACCCTCTTTTTTTTCCTGTGCGAAAATCCCCTCGGATATTACCCACCGGTGGGGTGATTATGTCGGACTAGAACCGACCAAAAACCGCACGCCGTCTCGGGTACCAGTAGCCGGAGAACCATTTGTACCCTAGGAAAGAAATGACTGGTACACTGACGTACCTCGGGCTATTCACGGCGTACATCTACAGATGACCCCCTTCTGTGTTAGAACCCCCATGTTCCCTTTGTGCTCCCAAAAGGGCGCGCGCGCTCAGCAGCGCGTCTCGCCGCCATCCCGGTCCACCTTTGCTAGGGTGACAGATAGCCTCACCTGTCACCCCCAGGCCTGCGCTTATGGAGGACGGAAGTCTTTCTGAGACCTTCGGCGCCTGAGTCGTCAGCGGTACCTGGCCCGTTCCCGGGCCTGCAGGGCCGGGAGAGCTCTAAACCTCTCCCGGTCCCGCTCCGCCAACAGTAAAATACCCTATTCTCAACTGGACTGTGTTGCACAGTGATCTATGGGAGCTCGTACACGAAGCTAATAGCTTGCGTATGTCGAGGCACTTGCGCAGTTATACAGAAGTGTGTGCGTGTGGGATACCTACGGGACCCCTTAGAGAAAGACAACTTACACCTCAGTCATACATACATGTATATTTCAATAAAAAAAACAGTTACAATAAAAAAAATAGTGGGTATATAAAAAAAAAACCGCAGCGCCGCGCGTCAGAGCCGAGCTGATGCTGCTCGGAGCCTCCTCGTCTTCAATCCAGGAGGTCACTTCCCCTTCCGCCCGAGTCGGCTATTTATATTAGGTATAAAGGAAGGTTCACTAATGATATAAATAAAGTTAACGAGAAGTACGTAACCCTTGAGTACGGCTGTCCGCTTGTTTGGTGAGCCGCGTGACTGCCAGTTTGCCAGAGAGTACCAAGAAACTTGATTTCGCACCAGAAGGCCACAAATGAACAAGCACGCCGTCTGAGACTGACCGTCTTGACCCGAAATCTGGGACCCTACGAATGGATTAGCACTCATATTATCGATCAGGTTCCAGAAACAAATAAGTACAAGAAAATTATTAATATACTCACCACTGGCGTGGGTACTTCGACCAGATAAAATATAACTAAGATGAAATCACCAGACAAACAAAATACTATTTAAGATCGAAAGACAAGAATTAGCAGAGTGTCCCCTGTGGCTGCAAGCCGGACTTATATATGTTCGGTTTGTAAAGTTTATAGAAAGAATCCCTACTTTAACATTTCAAACTGTCACTCAAATTATTATCTAGGTTAACTTGAACTAAATCAAAAGTAACTCGCTTCCTACCATAACAGGTCACTTATAACACCAATACAATTTATCAGGATAAATTCTTACTGACTTACCAATAAAACAACGCCATCTAGTGGTCCGATGGCGGACGAAGAACATCAATACCATAGTTACAAACTACTTTGGATAAATCAATAAATGCGACGCGAGGCAATAGATGTTGCTGTTAACAACTCCGTACGCAATACAAATATACTAAAAAAATAACTGTTACAATGTTGCACTGCCACTAAACAGGCCAGCCTCTCTTAGTGATACCACCAACTTACTTACAGTTGGGTACTCACTTCTCGTGTAATAAGCATATACGTGGTTTCGAATAGCATCTGCGTCAAATGTGTCAATACCTGTTACAGGCTTGCTTTTCTTCCTCTTCTTAGGCGTATGTAACACATTTTCTTCAGTACCGGAAGACCCATACTTTTCCTTCAAAATGGTTCGAATAGTTTTTTTGCCGATTCCAAGTGCTTCTGCTACGCGATCTTGCACTTGAGTTACGGGTAATAATGGTCCACCATTAACTGATTAGCGTTCGAAGTATTCGGTTAACTTCACAACCAATTCGCGTGATTGGCTGTTGATTGTACGTCCTCTTTTCGACATGTTGAAACAGAGTTTGTACAATATATCAACAAACACCAAAATCGAGTCCAAATCGCTATGTCTAATCAATGTCCGGAATAGAAGAGCCAAGGTCAACGTGATAGTAAACAAAAACAGTCCAAAAGCAAAGCCGAGTCTAGAAAAAATATCAAACATAAACGAGCGCACAGTCAACTTCACAAGATGTCGAACGAAAGACTGCGCAGTGCACGGTACGCGCATGGATCACGTGCCGCTTGGTCATAGACAAACCATTCTATAGGTACATAGAGAAAGGAAACAAATTATGTACGGCTTTGATGATTCTTTTATAGACAGACTTTTAAGGACTGTTGTCAAATGTGACTGTTGCAAAATGAGACGTTGACGTTTTAGACAGAAAAATAAGGATGAATTATTTTTTTCAATATCATGATAAAATGATTTGGTTAAAAAACCCGGAGTCCACTCGGGGTTTTTTAACCAAATCATTTAGTATAATATCAAAATATTCATATTAAATATCAAAATAAAGCTAAAACTATGTGATCAGATTTTGTTTTTATATGTTTAAATATTAAATAATACACTAATTACACATTTATCTCTTTTTTTAATTAAATTTTTGTAAACGATTTTCAGCCATAATTCGGCTTTTTAACGGTTACAACACTACGACAACAAACACAAAGACATGACATTGTAGTAAAGTCCTGTCGGAATATTAATCAACGATTAATTCGTGTTTTTGAGAGCATTTTTTCAATATAAAGTTATACTTGATGCTTATTTATGATACGCGTTGTGATAGTGTATGGGTAACATAGTAATTAAATAGGATTATGAATATGATTTTTCAATTTCAATAGACGTTCATACAAAGTTATCGCGGCATGTCAAATGAGAAACGTCAAAACGGGCTTCTTATTTTGTGACGACTTTAGGTGTATAAAAATCAAGGTCCTGAGTCAACACGATAAAAAGATTTGGGCAAATTTCGATTCGATCGACCTTAATTTTTTTTTATACTTAATAACTTTACTTTAATAACTTTTTTTTCAGAATTTTCTCTTTACTTGTTCTGTAAGACCTTGCTTTTAACCAAAATTGACAATTCTAGGTCAACAGGAGACCCTCTAGGTTTTGGGTCGAAAACCTATATGGTAGTTCCCGTTGACCTAGAATCACGATAATTGGCAAAAAGAAACGTCTTACAGCACAAATAAAGGAATAATTCCAAAAAAATATAAAAAAAAGTTAAATTTAGGTACTTTTCGCAAAAATCTACGTAAAATCTGGGTAGGTATGGAATCCTCTGCACAAGTTCGACTCATACCTAACCATTTTTTTTTAGGTAGTTTTGAAATGCATTAAATTGAAATATGGGCTTATTTCAATGAAGAATTTATTTCAATTTAAATAATATAATTATGACAGAAATGATAAATAAGAAACAGTTCATGAACTAAAGTTATATTTCCAATGAATAAAAACACTTTACACAGTGACATAAATTAGAATTATGTAGTATTTGTGTAATCAGTGAATACATTATGTAAATATTCTTATTGCAGAACTAAACCAATTTTATTAGGTGTCATACTTGGACATCTCCAATTGTATAAATAATATTGCAAATTGCCATCACCAATCCCGAACTTAAGGGGTTCTAAGAACTCCTTATTATCCATAAGGTCTAAAGCATTAAATACATCAAAACCAGAGTTTTTGGCAGTAATTAATGCATCTAGCATTAAGTCTATCCACGGTGTCTTAGTAGATACATTGTAAAATGAATATGCAGCTTTAAGCGTTTTATGTACAGGATGGTATACAACTGTAGAAGGTAATGTATAATAACTTACAAAGTCTGTAATACTGCCATCAGCAGCTTCCACAATAAAGCTATCAATTATACCAGCCTGTGGTAAAAACCAATGCTTGAAATCTTCATCTGAAAAGATAGGAGCCAAATCAAACTTTTTCAAATAATCATTTAAAAGTTTAACCACCTTTTCAATGTCTTGAACTTCCAGCTTACGAAATCCTGGGGTTTTTGGATGGTCAGGCAGTTTAAACAGTTTCAGAGTCCTTTGCATGGTCATATTTCTAGATAAGTGACTGAACTTAATATCAATTAACTTCTTTGGATTAAGTGATCTATGCCAATAACGGCAGCTGGCTATAGGTTTGGGTAAAACGATTCCAGCTGTATAGACACCTTGAAATATTCCAGTGAGGTTAACTCTGCGAGTTATTTCTCGAATTAAAACTGGGGCTACTCTTTTAGCACGTAGTTTTTTATGTACACACAAAAAGTTGATTTCAACAACTGTTTGCACATGGTCATATATTCTCAGCTGGGCTGGAATGGCAGATATGAATCCAACTAATCTACCAGACTTGACCACTCGAACCCCACAATGCCATTCCATCTTCCAACCAGGAGGTTGAAGAGCCCACTTCAAAAAATCAGTTTGATAATCAAAACGAAACATGCAATCGTCATCTTCAACATAGTTCTCGTTGAGTAGAGTATACAGTTCTTTTAACACCAATGGCTCATTCAAGTTTAGGGTGTCCCATTGAAATCCATCAGGCAAAGTATAGGGCTCTGATCTTATTTCTTCAGGAGTTTTAGGAGGCTCTATTGGTTCGTTAGAAATTATTTTTTCATCCATTTTTGGTACAGGTTGAGTTGACCAAAATTGATATGATTTGTGTAAAGCCTCTTCAGTCGTTTTAGCAGGTTTTTGTTGGAGATTTAGCACTTCCATAGCCATCTTCAAGTCCTTTAGCGATATATTTTGATGAACATCGCTTGAATTCGAACCGGTGACTAAACCATCAGGCAAGGTTGGAACGCCGTGGTCGCCATCTCCACCGCTACGCTTTTTCTTGTTTTTACTTTTCTTCTTTTGATGTTTTTCTTCAGTATCTCTATTAAAATCACTAGAATGTGTTGCTTTGGTGTCTTCCATTTTTATCTACACAAATTATCTATTGAATAGCCAGTTAATTTGCCTACATAAAAAAAATCAAGAACTCAGTCCACTACTTCATTCCCTAAGAATAGGAATCTATATTGTCTATGATAAAATTTAACTTCCATTGCTTTATGATATGAATTTTAGAATATTGGTCTTTTAGCTTAATACACGTTAATATTCAATAGCTGTTTCTATTGTGGAAGCAATTAAATCAAAATCCCATGTGATAATTCATATCATTACACCTGTGACTGATTTAAAAAAATCACTGCTACTTAATTATTACCATTACGCTAGCGCAAGACTCGCGAAAGGTCTAAATCTAAAAAAAACGAGTTGGCTTTAGACCACACTAGAGTCGTATAGCTCCTGAGTGAGTGATATAAAAGATAAATATCATTCAAGACGATAAAATGTATCACTCACTCATACTAACTCACTAGATCACAAGCTTACTAGCTACTGCTACTACTAAAGATAAATGAGTGAAATAGACGATGGTTGAGTTCACGGTAAGTTTCTTTATGCAAAATGTACATTATTTCTATAGAATCAAAGTTTAATATTACTTAATTATTAAGCCTGCCAAGTATAAGGAAAATCCATTTACGTATGTATGCTTTCTAATAAACAACCTAAAAAAGTACAAAAACAAAGGATTATACGTAGGTATTTCTTTTTCTTATAAAAGGTCGTTAATAATTATGTAATCATATCTAACTGAATAAAAATTGTATTTAAAAAAATAGGTTAAAGATGAAGTTCCAAGAACTGAATTTAGGTTAATATGAGAATAAAGAAAGGTTTGTATGAGCGAGAGAGGCTTGAAGTGAGTGATATATACTGAGCTTGTGTAGGAACGGGTATCATGTCCCTCCAACACAAAGGGAGGATCCTCCGACCAGGCGAGGTGATCATGCCTGGCGGGCCACGGCCTAACGGTTGATGTTGGGAAGTTGTATATATGCTAACCGGCGCGGGAATTCCTTATATCGCGATACAGGATTAGCAATTCTTATTTTAGTAGTTACTCCGTAGTTCGGTGTGTCTTCATTAGATGGCGCTGTAGCATGTTTAAGTATGTGGGAGTCGCCACAAGCTAAACTATATAGATGAAGAAATGAATCAATTGAGACTCCAATCTATTCAAACTCCAATAGCTTTATTTCATAAACACTTAAAAATTATTTGAAATCGTCTCTTGTGTAGACTCTAAAGTCATAGATCAACACACGCAATAGCAACAATCACTGTTTTGTCAAATATTTTGCTAACTAAATCTGTAAAATCTCTTATATGCCTGTGCCGATCTACAACTGCCCGTTTCAGAGGGGTTGAGCCTCATGAAAAGAAAGGGCAAACAAACTCATGGCCACTCTTTTCAATCAACAGATAACAATGGCATCATTAAATATACACAACATTGTTTTGATGTGTGCCAGTATGTAAGTTCTAAGGACTAAAAGGTAAAAAGGCAAAGAAGAGAAAACAAGATATAGAAAAAATGTGGAATAAAAAAGAAATTGAAGTGAAACATAGAAAAATGGAAAATTAAATAAAAGTCACATTAGCCCAAATCACGTTTCCACTACGAAATAGCCTATGCTACATTATTGAATGGGATCACTGAGCTAGTGACCTAAATGAGGTAGATGAGTGATATATATCTATAGAGCGAAATGATATGTATCTATCTTTTCATCTCAGTGATACATTTTGCGCATCACTAGACCACACGACAGAAGTATAACTTCTTGGCTATGAGAGAAAGAGAGAAAGAAAATATGTGCTAACACCTCTCTCTATAACCCCTCTCTCTTTCTATCTTCACTAACTTACATCGTCCTCTCAACTACCGTTCGCCTCGTCCGATCACACTTTTCGTAACGCTGACATTCACCAGCTAAATAAAACTTCTTTACGCACGCTTGACTTAGGGAGTACCCCAGTATCTTTGATAAAAACACTTTTGATTGATTTTAATGCCAATCGTTTTATCAAATGAATATGATTTAAAAGTAGTTATAATTTCCATGTCTAGTTTCTATCTTCTATGATTATCTATGTAATAAAAAGCTTTTTTTGGCGCCTACGTTAGCGTAAAAGCAATTTTACATCTCCATGGAACATCGAAAACTACTTTGCTATCTATAATCTTTACAAAGAGGCGTGTCCAATTTTAAAACATTAGATTAGACTTGAATCACGAAGGGAACTCAGTGTAGGTTGTATTTTAAAATACATCGTGAAGTTTTATTTTTAGTTTAAAGAACTATGATAATAAAGATACTCTTAACTCTAAAATCTTTATATTTTTTTGTCTTCGCTTTACGTATATGAGTACCTACGGTATGACAGGTGTATTTTATACAATAACTAGCGATCCACCCCGGCTTCGCAAAGGTGCAATGTAGATATTACTACGAGTAACACATGTGGTATCAGTGAGAAGTAAATAATGATACTATTTTTATGATAGGACTATACTACAGGACATCTATATATGCAATATTTACAGACCCGCTCCGATCCCGCCAGCCCCATGCCACCCATGACGGACTTGTGACGACTTCAACATAGGGCGAAACGAAGTAACATACTACAGCGCCATCTAACGAAGACACACCGAACTAAGGAGTGACTCCACATTGAGCATTGCTAATCCTGTATCGCGATATGAAGAATTCTGTCGCCGATTAACATATTTACAATTCTCAATATTAATCGTGCCGCGGCCCACCAGGCGTGATCACCTAGCCTAGTCGGAGGATCCTCCCTTTGTGTTGGAGGAGCACGAAATCCGTTCCTCCACAGTGGTGAACCCGACGTGATTGAAAGAAGCCAGCAACCTCAGCCTCAACAGGTATACCACACGCAGGTAGCGACCGCTCCAGCCTAGTTACCCATATGGCCTCATCAGCATCTAAGCACAGCACACTGTACCTACGGTCCACGTAAGAAGATCATATCTCTCCCGTCTACGCAGCAGCCAGCCCCGACGCAGCAGCCAGCCACTACGCAGCAACCGCCCCGACTCACTGCAGAATTCACCGCAGCAGCGCGCACCGCACGCCAATACGACTCACCGAGATCAGCGGACTTCAGGCCCGACTCACTGGGATTAGTGCAATCAGTTCACTATGGATGGATGGATCACTACTATTCAAGATTTCGACCTCCGGTCTTGGAGGTGAGTGATGTGCGACTTCCACATACGGCAAAACGAAGAAACATACTACAACGCCATCTAACGAAGACACACTGAACTACGGAGTAACTCCTGAATGAGAATTGCTAATCCTGTATCGCGATATGAAGAATTCTCTAGCCGATTAGGAGACAACTTCCCAACCGTTGGAAGGACAGGATATTCGTTCCTCTACAGACGTATGACTCGATGGTCGTGGGGCCGCATTTTAAACCTCTAATATCTTCTAAGATATTCATTTTAATCATAATTGAAAGAGCAATTTTAATATACATTAAATGCACAACGTATCTATCGTATTTAGTTGGATAATGAATAAAAATGTATTGTTTCAAATGGGAAGCCATTAATAACCCATTATTTTTTGTACTATTTAAAAGATAAAAATGGTTATCCTTATTGGTTGGTTGTGGGTTATCCTTAGACCATAGAAATATACCATCTAGGACTTTTTGTACATCTTTTTAAGATATTCGATTCCGTAGTACATTATTTTGGTGTATCTCGTGAGATTTAGCCAGTTTTTGCAATGTAAACATGTTTTTTAAAACAAATCTTTAAAATTCTCAGATTATCTCAACTATTATATGCAAGTATTATACATATGAACCTTCCTCCTGAATCGCTCTCTTTATGAGTGAAAACCGCATTAAAATCTGGTGCATAGTTTAAAAGATCTAAGCGTACAGCACAAAAAACTCGACTTTATTTTATACAATGTAAAGATAATACACACATCAAAAAGCAATAGGTACGCAACATTTACAGAAAATGCATGTTTTTTGTTAAACAATCTTCATTGTCTTGTTTGCTCTCGGAAACATATAATGACTGATTTAAAAATAAAAAACTTTTCGATTATGTTTTGTTTTCATTAAAATAAATGCTTTTTTTTTTCGATTTTATGTGTTTTCGTTGCTTGATAACTCTGTTACCATTGCCGACACCCGAGTCACGAGTTCAATGAAAAAAAAGAAAAATTATCAAGCAACGAAAACACATAAAATCGAAAAAAAAAGTATTTATATAGGTATTTACTTTTGTTGGCCCCGTTGCCTATCGCTTCTAAGAAGAGAGCTGTAAAACTGCAAAAAAATCGAGTGGTTTTTTTCGCGTGCGCTCCTAGTAGACAGCAGAGGGAGCATGGCGGCGGACTGTAGTATTTATTGCTTTCATTAGTTTTGACAAATTAAGATCTTTCTTCTTGAAACAGTCCACAAGCCGGCAAAAGACGGTAAACCATACACATTTTAATTTTAAGAACTCGTAATGAAAATAATGCTGTAATTTAATATATATAAACTGTTAAACGCCATCACAGAAAAGCGGTGTTAAGCAATTCTTTCGTTCTCTTTCACTGAGTGACTGAGGTTACCGGAGCCAAATCCAATCCCCATCCCGCTGACTCAAGCGGGAGGGACTCCAAGTTCGGCAACGCACTTGTGACTTTTGAGTTGCAGGTATCTTTGGGCGGCTGTAGTTGCTTACCATCAGGTGACCCGTCTGCTCGTTTGCACCCTTACACCATTAAAAAAATAAAAAAATATAAGGTAAGAATTGATATACATATATTCAAAAATAATTGATTTCACTTATTTTTTCTGAAAAATTACGCGTCTCCGCATGTTGAAACTTTGCGTGTGTGCTTATAATAATGTAACCTTTCTGTAAAAAAAATATCAACCCCCAACTCGACGGACGTCAATGGAAAGCTGAGCCGAAAGGAGTTGTGCCTCATATATTTTTGTGCCAAAAACGAAATAGTTGAAAGTTAGTTGAAAGA